GAGCTGCCGTGCACTCCGAAAACCTGCTTCCAGTAAGGCTACAGCAGAGTGGAGAGTTGAACGGGTGTAGGGATGAATGGATGGAAGGGAAGGCATGATGGGGTGAAGGGATAGAGGAATGAAGTGCTGCCCTCTTTGTTTTGTACTGTGTCCCATCCAGTATGGTATTCATGTGAAGCTGGGAATAAATGAATGCCACGCCTGGTGGTCCTTCTGTATGGCTGGTTTTGCCGATTCTGGTTGTTGTAGTGCCTTGTAAAGAGTACAGAAATTCTGGCACTTCTCTCAAATTGTAGCTGCTGCAAAGCTGATTCTTCTCTGGAAAAGGCTGCCATGCCAAGTCCCGTACCATTTCTTGATTCCTAATCATGACGACACATCCTGATTCCCATGTGCATGTTGCTCTACTCCCTCGTCGAGGACACCAGAATCCGGACCACTACAGCACAGGTTGGTCGGACAGGCAGACAGCACCTCCTACTTTGACCAATTCGGCCCATGGGCTCTTGTGATTATATCATCTCATTGGAACAAAAACTAAACAGTATCACATATACTACAATTCCCAATAAAACCTCCACAATTCTGAGCAACAACCACACGGTACTTCACCCAGGCCTTCTGCTTACCGGCCGGTACGCTCAAGTATCCATTTCTGAGTTGACTCAAAGATCACATTCCTTCGATTGGACTGGGACAATTATCCCAGATCAGCCAACTCCGCTCAGTTTGTCTTCTTTTCCGCCTTGGCAGCATCTGAGCCAGCCTTGATCGTCGCCTGCTTGAGTTTTTTCTTCGAGCTGCCCCCTTCGCCGGGCAGGCAGAGAAAAGCCAGCAGGAGGCCGATGAGAAAGGCGGGCTGGATGGCAGGCGGTTGCACCTTGGCGGAACAAGGGGGATTGATTAGAAGGGGGGTTGATTAGAAGGGGGGTTGATTAGAAGGGGTGTAAATAGGGATTGGATTGAGGCACCTCAAAAGGTAACAGCAGGAGGGCGATGAAGCAGGCGGCTGGATGGCGGGTGGTTGCACCTAGGAGGAACAAGGGGGGTGGAAGGAGGAGGGAGTTTGGAGGGGTCGGGGGGGGGTGGGAGGGAAGGGTAGAGATGAGTTTTGAGGCACCTTGAAACATGACAGCAGCAGGGTAATGAAAGAAGGCGGGCTGGATGGTAGGTGGTTGCACCTTAGGAGGGCCCGGGGGAAGAGGCGTGTGGGGGAGGAGCACAGATCTTTGAGGTGCCTAAGATATTAGATTGATACCAAAAAAATATAAAAAAACAGGTACAGAGTATTTTTTTCAATACACGGATTCGTGTATACAAAGGCGACTTTTGAGGAGCCTTGAAGCTGACAGTGGGCTCAATGGAGGTTGAAAACTAACCTTGACGAGGCCACAGTTACCTCGGTGGCATCAGGGCGTTGGAGGTACCTTGGAAGGGTTAAGGTACCTCTCAGGGTCTGGGGTACCTCTCAGGGTCTGGGGTACCTCTCAGGGTCTGGGGTACCTCTCAGGGTCTGGGGTGCCTCTCAGGGTCTGGGGTACCTCTCAGGGTCTGGGGTACCTCTCAGGGTCTGGGGTACCTCTCAGGGTCTGGGGTACCTCTCAGGGTCTGGGGTACCTCTCAGGGTCTGGGGTACCTCTCAGGGTCTGGGGTACCTCTCAGGGTCTGGGGTACCTCTCAGGGTCTGGGGTACCTCTCAGGGTCTGGGGTACCTCTCAGGGTCTGGGGTACCTCTCAGGGTCTGGGGTACCTCTCAGGGTCTGGGGTACCTCTCAGGGTCTGGGGTACCTCGCAGGGTCTGGGGTACCTCTCAGGGTCTGGGGTACCTCTCAGGGTCTGAGGTACCTTGGATGGGTCGCGGTACCTTGGATGGGTCGGGGTAGGTGTGAGGGAGCAATATGGGGCGCAGCAACCCCCAAAGCAGCAGCAGGTAGCCCAGCAGCGGCATGCGGGCCGCTCTGAACTGGGCGGCTATGGCTCCCCCCACCGCGAAATAACTGCCCACCACCAGCTGGGGAGGGCGGCAGAGGAGGGGAAGGGGTCAGAAGAGGGTCGTTGACGTGTCACCAGAAGCAAGCAGCAGCTTCTAGAGGAGCAGCAGGAAGCCCAGCAGCGGCATGCGGGCGGCTCTGAACCTGAACCCTAACCCGAACCCAAGTTTCAACCCCAAACCCAATTTTGAACCCCGAACTTTAGTCCTCTCACCTCAAGGCGCAGCAGGGGCAGGCCGGGGTCAGTTAGATCCTCTGGTCCATCGAACGCCCTCTCGTACTGCTCCAGCACAGACTGCCCCAGGCGTGCTGCAACCGCAGGGGTGCCGCTGCTGTTCAACCCTGAACCCGAAACCCCTACCCCATCCAAACCCGAATTTTCTCACCTCGAGGCGCAGCAGAGGCAGGCCGGGGTCAGTGGGATCCTCTGGCCCGTCAAACGCCCTCTCGTACTGCTCCAGCACGGAGTGCCACGCTGGCAGGCGCATTGCCGCCGCCACGTCACCGTCCAGCAGGGCGGCGCCCACGTGGCGCGCCACCTCACCGGGGTAGACGACGGCGGAGAGGAGGACAGGTGGCAGCCAGATGGGGTGGCAGAGCTGTGTGATGACGACAGCTATGGGTGAGTCCACCTGGCGGTTCGATATGGTTATGCTGGCAGCACGGAACAGCAGCAGGACAGGAGGAAGGGGGGTGGGGTTGGGAGGAGGAAAGCATGGCAGGAGGGGAGAAAGGAGAGGGTGTTGGATATGGAAGAGCCGCGTGATAACATCTGCTATGGGTGAGTCCACCTGGCGGTTGGATATGGTTATGCTGACAACACAGCACAGAAGGATGGGGGTGCGGAGGAGGGTGGGGAAGGAGTGTGGGGAGGTTGGGGAAGCACAGCAGGAGGGGAGAAAAGGGAGAGGGTTGGAGGGTGATTGAGGGTGGGAAGATGGGGAACAGGAGGAGGAGGGGTGGCAGCCAGATGGGGTGGCAGAGCTATGTGATGACGACAGCTAAGGGTGAGTCCACCTGGCGGTTGGATATGGTTATGCTGACAGCATGGATCAACAGCAGGACGGGAAGGGGAGGGGACCGCAGGGGGGAGGGGGAGGGGGAGGGGGAGGGGGAGGGGGAGGGGGAGGGGGAGGGGGAGGGGGAGGGGGAGGGGGAGGGGGAGGGGAAAGCAGGGGGGAACGGGAGAGGGAGGAGTGGGGATGCATGGCAGGAGGGAAGAGGCAGTGCTGTGTGATGACCACTGCTATGGGTGAATCCACCTGGCGGTTCGATATGGTTATGTTGCCAGCATGGCACAACGGGACGTGGGGAAGGGAGTGTGTAGCGAAGAGTGTGGGGCGAGGGAGAAAACGTGAGGGTGTTGGAGGATAGGGTGAGGGTGGCTGAGGGGGGAAACGGATAAGGGAGGGGAGGAGGACAGGTGGCAGGAATATGATGTGCCAGAGCTTCGTGATAACGACGGCGATGGGCGAATTAACCCCGCGCTTGAATATGGCGTGCTGACTTCGAAACCGAAACGTGGGGACGAGACTCGGGGGTTCGGGACGAGGGGAGATGGTTTGTGCGGGACGCCGGGGGGGTTGGGGGAGCGGGCGCGGACTGAAAGTGCGACCGAGGAAAGGTGATTGAAACAGTCGAGCAGTCGGCACGAAGCAAAGTGGAACAAGGGCTCACACGAATCAAGAAAGTGGAGATTCTAGGAGTTCCCTGAAAAAGAGGCGGTTTGGATGGAAACGCAATTAACGATTTGCCCTGACAGGAGGTTCTCCTGAAGAGCGACCCATGACATAGAACCTACCTGAAGAGAGGTGCTAGACATGGGGATTATCACCTGAAGGAGCTCGATGGATCTGCCTGAAATGCGGCACTTGACACGTGGATCCACCTGAAAGCAGTACTTGACACGTGAATTCACCTGAAGAGCGGTACTTGTAGTATGACCAGCAGCAGCAGAGCCTGCGGAGCGAACTTCTTCAGTCTGTTCCATGCCACCCCCATGATGTCTCCTCTGCCTCCTCTACCTCCTCTGCCTCCTCTGCCTCCTCGTTGCAATAAAAGGTGGTTCTTTGCGATGCTGTGTCGAAAATGCTAGAGAATGCTATATTTGAGGTGTATCGCCCGTTGAATGAAAAAGGACTGCTTGCTGTTTGAGAATCTGCTTATAAGATGGGTACTTCAATCCTGTATGGGAGCGATCGGTGGAAAAATGACCGAAGGAGGGACGGATTGGAGAAGAGATGATCTACGTCCTGAACGAATGAGGGAAATGCAGGATCGAAGCCGAAACAAAGCGACGAAAGAGCGGACGGAAAAGGTGACTGGAACTAAGATGTTTCACTTCCCCTCTCTCGCTCTCCTTTCCGTACGCTCCTTCTCGTCTTCTACTCCCTAGTTTCTGCAATATGTGGTCTAAGGAATATTCGAATCTTGCGGCAATAGAAGGCTTGCTGTTGCGTTAGAATCCCAATGTGACACCGCGGCAATATCGAGGGTGCCGGGACACCTTTGTAGGCTTCTCGATACTAGGTGAGCACAATGAGCAGAGAAGGTGCTCCACACGGGGCCTTTAACAAATAACATTTACATTTGTGACTCCATTTTACGCACATGAATCCCAGTTAAAACATGGGGATGGAATAAATTAAATTGAAAAAACGATATTTCGAATAAGAAGATAATGCTTGAATATTGAATTAAATACATGTAGCACGTAGCCAAAACAATTCTGGTATGTACACAAAAGAATGTCTTCATTTGGAATCCTGCTGCATCAAAAACATAATATGACTTTATCGAAGCATCCAATACCTTCGCTCTCTGGTGTACGCGATCCCAGGTTTTCGCGCCAAAATTTCGTGTGCCTGACACCATTCTGGGAAGACTACTGGTATCGCGCATCAAGCTGCCATTAGCTTGTGACCATTTCACGCCTGTTTGTGGAGCCTCAACATTTCACATACCGTAGATTTTTTTTCCGTCAGAGAATCGTCTTGGCCAATTAAAAGAATGGGGGACTCGTTAAGACCCAAGGACTTTCGAGAGTTAGTTCAGAGAGTGACGACGAGGTGTCGAGATATGTGCAGCCAGCATGCGGCGGAGCTTTCGGGCGAGCAAGATAAGTCTTCGAACGTTATACCTAAGGCAGCGCAGATCGAGCTGAAGCAGCTCTCGTCCCGCCTAACTTCTGCCGTAGACTCCGTCGCTTCTGTTACGAAAGATCAAGGTCTACAGGAAACAGCGTTTCCGGGCCCCGACGACAACCAGCTTTTAGGTAAGCTAGTAGCGGAGGCGAACAGTTTAGTCCCTTATTATGGATGAATTGTACTAATTTGATTCACTCTGTGCTGGTCTGTGGTTGTACGCAGTGTTATCCAAGGCGCAGGCGGAGGCTCTTGAGTCGGAAATAAAGGAGCTGGCTGTATTAGTAAAGCAGCGACGGACTAAGATGCTGGAGAAAGTCCGAAATAAACTGGGAGTTAAGCTAGAGCGATTGAAGAAGTCACAGAAGATGTATGGTGCTGCAGCTGCGAAATGTACACGAGGTATTTTTGTCATTCTGACCGATTTTTGGGTTCTTCATTGTTCTTGCTCTTCAGAATCACTTTTCAGCTTCTAATGCGCTAATTATTTTCTGTATATCATGCCAGCTACGAGCGCGATTCGATTGCGTATGCAGTCCCTTCTGGAGCAAGGTGAGGAGACAACGACCATGGTTTCAGAGGTTGCTAAGAAGGCTGGTTCTATGGCGTCCCGGTTACATAACCTAATCACATCAGCCAAGACTGAAGCAGCACGGATACCGTCAACTAAGGAGAGGCTAATTGCGGAAGAGATAGCAAAGGAGAAGAGCTGCAAGCAATGAGCAGTTTTGACAGAACAGGTATGGGGAGTGTGACTGGGTTTTGGAGTTGCAGGGTTTGTACAGACTGGTAGAAGCTAGCAGGTCACGAAACTTACCGTAGCTTGTTGGTGTTCATATCAAACTCTAGCCTTGGTATGCTGGAATGGCTTTAGGCTTTAGTTGTAGGGTTCTTTGCCAACCATAGGCTGGTTGGTCAGGAAAGCTAGGGTGAAATAGGTTGGCTCTCAAGTTCAATACTAATGCTACTTAATGCGCATGTTTTGTGACAAGTTTGCTGAAATCGACTCCCTAGTTATTATGATATCTTTGAGATCTACACTCTGGCGTGACAAATTCGGACATAGGTATCACCTTTCTGTTGACGAGTATATTTGAGCAGCACCCAGCTCTAGCAAAGCCACGTCATGGCTGGTTGCCAACCCAAGGGAACCCAAGGTTGCCAAGCTGGAACAAACTCGAGATGAACCCAGGGGCCAGGATACCAAAGATGCTGGGCAATTACCTCCGTGGTAACACTCATTGAGCTCGATCGCACGTGAGGTAAGCCACGTGTCTGTATCGTAACGAAGGTATCTTCTCATCGCCAGCGTGGTAGCCAGTATGCCTAAATGGTCAACATTATTGCCTGAATGGTAATGAATGTTAGAAACTGAACTGTTTGAATAGGATCGTAGTCTTAGGATGGTAGCTTCCTGTAGCAGTGGAAGTCTTTTTATATGAGTGACTTGTAACAGGATCAAAAAGTCTCTGAAATCAAGTATATAATAAGATGACAAGCATACAGAATATATAACTAGACTAAAGTACCTGTTCGCCTACTGTGCTGTATTTATTCGCGCTATTCCTGTTCTGAAAAGGTACGTGACTATTCGCGATACCTACAGCTACTGATGACGTCATCCTAAGGCGCGTAGCGCTTTGCTGACGTCAGTCTATCGGTACTTTTACTGTACTAACTATACGAATTCCTTGAAGTGCATAAGTCTCGATATTATCTCAACACTCCCTTTCACTTCTAGGAGTTCGGTGTAGTCACCCTGTTGACTCGGAAATGCCACTGAGCTGGTTGCAGTGATGAAATTTCTGACGTGTCAGCTTCTTAGTAAGCGAATCAGCGGCCATGTCGCTGGTGTTAGAAACCTAAGTTGACTTAGGACTTGGGTTGAGGGTAGAACGAGAGTTACGAGAGGAAGGGGTCGAGAGATTAGCCAAAAGAGGTTGTTCACTATAGAGCGAGCAGTACAAATAGGCAAGCATGAGAGTGCACCACCAAACAAGAACATAGAGCTACACTAGGTCTACACTACAGGCAGTTATAGTAATGTATACAAGTACATTCTGACACACCCCCTAACTGCCTGCAGTGAAGAACCATGTGCAGAAACACCCCCGGAAGGGGTACACCAAGCGCAGCGGAAGACGGTAGAGAGGAATGCGAGGAGGAGGAGACGAGAGAGAGAGAGGGGAGAGGAGAGGAATGAGGAGAGGAGGTGGGGGAGCCACGCGGCGAGCCCCTCTTACGAACCCCCGTTTTACGAAGGGGGGGGATGAGAGAGGGATGAGGAGAGGAGGTGGGGGAGCCACGCGGCGAGCCCCTCTTACGAACCCCCTGTTTACAAGGGGGGGTGGTGAGAGAGGGAGGAGAGGAGGTGGGGGGGAGCCTAGCGCGGCGAGCCCCTCTTACTAACCCCCTAATTCCACGCCCCCTTTCAGCCACCCCCCTTGTCAACCTCACCCCCCTTGTCAACCGCCCCTGGAACCTCACGTCTTCCCCCCACCCTTCCTCCAACGCCACCCCCTCACCCTCCCCCCCCCCCCCCTCCCCCCCACCCCAGGAGGGGCGACAGGAAGAGAGAGGAGGTGGGCTGGCGCATGCTGGTCATCCCTGCCACCCCCTCACCCTCCCCCCCACCCCACTGCAGTAGGAGTGGAGAGGTGGAGGGACGGCTGTTGGCGTGTCACACCCCCCACCCCCACACCCTCCTTCCACCCCTTTCACGGCTGCACCAGCAGCAGGGAGAGGGAGAAGGCTGGCGGCGGCGTAGCGCAGCAGCAGAGTGGCGTCAACCACCCCCGCCCCCCAACACCCCCCCCCCCCCCCCCTGGTGCACGAGCAGCAGTGAGAAAGGGGAAAAATGTCGGGCGAGGGTGCAGCAGGCGGCTGCAGTTGCGCGTGTGGCTGCAGCTGCAGGTGTCGCTGCAGTCGCGCGAGAGGTTGCTGCTGCGCGTGCGGCTGCAGCTGCGCAATTCGCTGCAGTCGCGCGCGTGACTGGTGACGTGTGTGCAGCTGCGCGTTCGCGGTTGCGTGCGTGCGGCTGTGCGCACTGCGCACCGCTGGACGGGGACGGGACGGGCCGGGGCAGCGAGGGACGGACGGGCTGCGACGAGGGGGCCGAAACGGGGCCGCATCTGGCGCCATCGCGCAGCTCGCCGTCATGGGCAGCGTGACGGACGGAAGCTGCGCGACGGGCAGCACGAAGCAGGGATCGAATGGGGGCGAAGGCGCCATGCAGGAGCGAGAAAGTAACAGCGGTGGGCCCATGGACAACAGGTCTTAGGAGCTTAAGTGCTCTGAAACCATGTTAGAAACCTAAGTTGACTTAGGACTTGGGTTGAGGGTAGAACGAGAGTTACGAGAGGAAGGGGTCGAGAGATTAGCCAAAAGAGGTTGTTCACTATAGAGCGAGCAGTACAAATAGGCAAGCATGAGAGTGCACCACCAAACAAGAACATAGAGCTACACTAGGTCTACACTACAGGCAGTTATAGTAATGTATACAAGTACATTCTGACAGCTGGTGGGGCAGTAGACAAGACGCATTCTCCCCTTGTCGATCGCGTCTTTTACGAAGAAGTAACGCAGCGAAATATGCTTCGTGGGATTGACGAAACCAGGCTTGTTGGCGATGGTAATTGCACTCTGGTTGTCACACTGCAACGTAAACTGATTCGGCGTGACGAATTTTGCTTCGTCAAGTAACTCCTGCATGTACAGACCTTCGCGAGTTGCAGCACAAGCGGCGATGAATTCTGCTTCAGCCGATGAAAGTGACACCAGTTCCTGTTTTGAGGAATTCCAGGAAATCGGACCAATCGGCTCGAGACGGAAAATATAACCCGTGCGTGACCGTCGATCTGACGTGTCGCCAGCGTGGTCTGCGTCAACGTACCCGCTGAGGTACATTTTGTCGGTCAGCTTCCCAGCATTGAAAATCAATCCGAGTGTTGGTGTAGAGACGAAGTAGCGTAGCGCACGCTGTAAATCGAGAGAGTGTTCTTCTTTCGGGCAGCGTAAAAACTGCGCAAGGTGACTTGCGACGTAGGCAAGATCAGGGCGACAAGTGACTGCTGCGAAAAGAAGACATCCCAGCTGCTGCTGATACAGTTGAAGACCAGCTGCTGACAAATTTTTCAGATTGGGAACGTGCCCAGTGAGTGTAGACCGATAAGGTGTAGCAACGAAATCCGTGGAAATGTTGAAACGCTTAGCGAGTGACTCCGCATACTTCGAAGCCGTGAGATGAATAGCGGAAGAAGTTCGCGAAACGTTTAACCCCAGAAATTGAGTTACTTTGGTGGAAATGGTTAAGTCAAGTGATTTCTTCAGATCGGCTTCGATACGATCTCCCAGCGAAGTAGACGAGCTGACGTAGAGGATGTCGTCCACGTAAGCCACTAACAACGCATAGCTCCCCTTGTCGTCTAGTCGGTACATTCCGGGATCGTGCGGCAGTTGTCGAAACCCAACCTCCGTCAGCTTCCTGTTCAAATGCTGCTGCCACAATCGCGGTGCTTGTTTGATGCCATACAGTGATTTCTTGAGCTTGCAGACACTTGGCGGATTTGTCGGATATGTGTGCGGATATTCGACGTAGATTTCGGCATCGACGTCAGCGTACAGAAAGGCGTTAGAAACATCAATTTGTCGAAGTGGAAAATTCTTCGCGGCTGCTTCGCAAAGAACAAGTCGAACACTCGTATGTCGACTGACCGGGGCGAAGGTAAGTGTGTAGTCGATCCCATGAGTCTGATCAAAACCACGAACCACCCATCGTGCCTTGTGTTTCTCGTAAGTACCATCCGCTTTAGTCTTTACCCTGAAGACCCACTTACCGGTAAGAACATTTTTGTTTACCGTTTTTTCAATGGGTATAAGATCCCAAGTTCCCCTTTTCTCCAGGGCAGCCAGTTCGCGATCCATCGCTTCACGCCATTTTTCGCGATGAGGCCCTGAGAGAGCTTGTCGGGCAGTTTTCGGCTCCAAATTTACTGTAGAACTGTGCTGTACCGCTGCTGCGAGTCCCAGAATTTGCAGTCCGGTCTGATAATGTGGATTATCGTCGGGACGACCTGCGAAATTGACAGAATCATTCTGGTCTCCACTTGCCCCCCCAATTTCGTCAGGGTTGAAACGGATGCTGCTATTGGAAACCACCGGCATTGGCTGGCGTTGTTCATCCACGAGGTAAGTATGATGAACTTCGCGGACATCCTCAGGTCCCGCGCCAGCAAGAGGAATAAACTCCGGAATTCCAGATGACGTGACGGGGATAGGTGGGTCGGGAGCAGCTTCACGTGCACCGTCAGAGTCAGGTTCTTCGCTGGCAGCAATTTCGACATCGGCGTTAGCAAACGAACGAACACCGTGGAAAAGCATGGCAGGGTTTTGCTGCATGGCAA